TCAGTCGCTGGCTTCTGGACAGCCACTCACAGTGGCTGCTGGCCGCTCATGCTGGCTGCTGGCTACAGACGGTAGCCCATGACAACCCACTGCAGCAGGGGCTGCAGCCTATGCCATCGCAGGGGAACTCATGGCATCCCAGCTCCAGGCTGAGCTGTTGTTCAGTATCTTACCTGTAGAGAGCAGTGTCACTGGCCCTCATATGTGGGATCCGAACCGGGGCCCTCTGGCGTCCCAAGCCAACTCTTAACCAATGTGCCACTCGGCTGGAACTGAAAAATTTTAAGTTACACATTTTTGTATATAATTCTTTAATTCTGTCTTCTGTCTGTAATGATGTTTTCTTTCTCATAAATAATCCTGTCTTTCTTACTCTTTATTCCCCTCTATTTGGGTTTGAAAGAAGTTTATTAGCCATTTAAGTACATTTTTTATTTATGTTTTTTAATATTTTTGTTTGTTTTCCATTTCATTCATGTCAGTTTTTGTTATATGCTGATTACTTCGGGTTTCTTTTCTTGTTCTTTTTATAATTTATTGAAGTAAGTACTGCATTTATTTTTCCTTTTTTTTTAAAGCTTGCTATCTTTATAGCATTTCAGAGATAGACAATACAGGGTAATTGAGAGGGTTTCTGGGATTATACTACTTTTTCATTCAGCATTTAAATTTTGTGAACACAGTAATTTTGTTTTGTTTTAACCAACTTTACTGTATGATAATTTACATGAAATAAATTTTATCAATTTTAAGTGTACAACCCTATGGGTTTTCACACAACTTTCAGCCTGCAACTTATTGCTCTTGTTGGATATCAGTATTATCATTGCTTTCTGCTTATCTGCCTGGTATTCCTTTCCCACATCTTTATTTTGAATCTTTCTTTATCACTTTGCTCTATGTGTGTTTCTTTTAAGTAATACGGACCAGAATTTGATTTACAATAAAATATGACAGTCTTTTAACGCAGTCCACTCATATTTACTGTAATGAGTGATGTATTTATTATTTCCATCTTGTTTTAAATTTTAAACATTGTTGTGAACTCTTATTTTGCTTTGCTGGGTTGAATGAATGGCTATTCATCCCATTTTCCCCCTTGTTAATTTGGAGTTTGTCATTCTATTAATAGTTATAATCCCTTGCCCTATTGTCTTAAATAGACACATATGACCCTTCTAGTAAGTGAAAACAGAAAAACACCTATTTATATCATACTATACTTATCTTCTACTTCCTCCCCGCCTCAATAAGATATGGTCTTTAAATTACTTTCACTACCCTTCCCTCTTTCATCCACTCTACCTTAGATCCTGTAACACTTGCCTTCCCCTTATACCCACTACCTGATTCCAGGGTTTTATTGAGAGAATTAAATCCTAATTAAAATTTCCCTTACAGTGTGTTCCATATGTCCCAAGAGTTGTTATTTAGCATTTATATTACATGTTATAAATATAGAGAGAGATAAATATGTAGATCATGGCTTGTTACTCCCCACTGCTTTCTTTCCTCTTCATCTTCCCCTATCTTGAAATCTCTGTTCTGATTCATTCGTTATTCCATTAGAATCTTCAAAGTATTTCTCAGATGATATACTTGGTGATTTTTGCAAATCTTTAATATCTTTCTTTCCTCCTTGGCTGGATCTGGGTTGCAGGCCTTTTTTTTCATTAACTCACATTTAATTTTGCTATCTTTTAACTTCCAGGGTAGGAGGTAATAAGAAAGAACTTCCTTTCTGCCTGAAAATGTGCTAAAATTTCCCATATCCTTAGAGCTTAAGAATTTTAACCTGTATATGGCTAAGTATGTATGTTTTCCTTTCAATCCAGTCTGGAACTTATAGTCTTTCTTCAACCCAGAGAAATTCATTTATTATTTAATTATGATCTCTCCTCTCCTGTTCCTTTTTCTCCAGGAACTCATAAAATTTGGTTAAGTCTCCTGAATCTGTTGCAATTTCCCATCTTTAACCACGGGATTTGCATCTCCATGTTTTTGTTACATTTTGAGATACTTCTTCTATTTAATTTTCTAGACCTGGTTTTGGATTTAAGCAGTGACCATACTCTCTGACTTTTCTATGGAAATTTTTAGTTCTGATGTCATATTTTCTTGTTCAGGGAAATCTTTGGTGTTTGAGTTTCACACGTATCTCCTTCAGGCTCTCATTTTTTCAGAGATTCACCTCTTTCCTCCAGCAGCTCTCTCTGCCCTCTGGTTTGTCTGAGTTCTCCCCACCTCAGCGACTGAGAAATTTGACCCACCATTAGTTTTTTTGGAGAGTAGGGGGGACTCAGTAAAGCCATTGATTGTTCCTGGGAAGCAGGCTGTTTCTTGGACTTGCTGCCTTCCTGAAAGTCCTTGCTCTTGGCTCTGAGAGTCTGCTCCAGAAAATTGTCTGCAGAGAATTCTCTTCCAGGAGCTCAGCAGGCCCATTTAAAGTTCCTCACCTACAGCTGAGAGTTGTCAGAGTAGATAGGAAGGGAGGTCTTCATAGGATTGCCATATGCCCAGAATCTAAGTATTATTAACAGATAAAGTGATAATCATTAAAAGACTTTAAAACAGAAGCCATTAATAGTAGTAGGTCAGAACTCATAGTTACAAGAGAGAGAAAATCTAACTTAGTGTGACTTAAGTAAAAAAGGAATTTATTAGCTTACATAACCGAAAAGTTCAGGAAGCAGATCTAGCTCTGGGCATGGCTGGATCCAAGGTTTCAAATTAAGTCATTAAGACTTGGTCCGTCTCCATATCCCAGTTCTGTTTCCCTCCTTGCAACCAAAACCAGCTTGAAAGTTTAGACTCATCTTGACAGAGTGCAGAACAAGGCCAAAGATGGAGGGGCCTTGGTTGGGTGGCTTCCAAGGGCCCTCTCCGCCATAAGTAATTCCTTAAGAACGTCCTATGATCATTGAACCTTTACCCATCCCATTGGTTCTTGGACTTAAGCCTATTCCCCCCCAGCTGGGATCTCAGGAAGAGGGGGAAAGCTAGTGCCCCAGAGGTCCCTCATGGCTTCCCCTAAGGGCCTGCCCTCTGAGAATTTGCCTGGGACAGGCAATTCTGGCTGAAATCAGACACCAGGGAGGCCACTAAGGGAAGCATCTGGAGATAAGGAAGGGGCGAAAACTCCCGGGTATTTGGTAAGTTGAGCTGAGTTGACCAGCTGGAGGGATGTGGCAAGGGGCCCCTCAGGTGTCTGAGGCACATTCAGCTGCCCCAACTTATTCCCTAGACTTAGGGATCAATTAGAAAGTAGCCACTGGGGCCGGCTGAGTGGCTCAGTTGGTTAAGACGTGAGCTCTGAGCAACAGGGTCGCTGGTTTGATTCCCACATGGGCCAGTGAGCTGCGCCCAAGCTGAGCTGCCAACAGGTGGCAGGATGGCTCAGCTGTGAGAGCACATGCTCCTAACAATGGTTCCGGTTCCACTCCGCATGGGATGGTGGGCTATGCCCACCCGCAACTAAGATTGAACACGGCACCTTGAGCTGACCTTGAGCTGAGTGGCCAAAAGCTGCTGACTGGCAGCCGGATGGTGACTGGACTTGCACCCTCCACAACTAAGACTGAAGGACAATAACTTGACTGTTCCCTTTCCCCAGTTCCCCAACACTGTTCCCCTTCCTTAATTCCTCAATAAAATCTTTAAAAAGAAATACATGTTTACAAGTTTACAAGAATACATTAAAAAAATAAAAAAAAGTAGCCACAGACCTTGCGTTCAGTCATGAGGACCCAGGCACCAGCCTCGGTGATAGGATAAGAAACTAAGAAAAATTAAAGGGTTGTATGTGAGAGAGAATAAAGAGGACCCAGGCTTCAGGGACTGGAAGGAAAATAAAATTCAAGTCACACCCAGCTCCACACAGAATGAGTCTGCTGTTCTCCGAAAGTGGGAGGCGACTGCTCCTGGACCCACAGTGCTAGCACTCACTGCAGTCCCACGCTAGGCCCTTTAACTGCCCCGAAACGTCGGGACTACATCTCCCAGCATGCCGCGGACAGGGCAGCATTACGCCTGCGCAGAGCTGGTGGCGAGGCCGCGTCGTGCCAAGTGGGGGCGCTCGGAGCTTGGTCCTGAGCCTGCGGAGGCCGCGGGCACCGCAGGGTCCCGCGGAGTGAGCTAATCTGAGTTGGGGAGTGTTTGAAGCCTCTACTGCTATTCTCGGACGGTCCCCAACCCCTGCCTCTTCCCGGGTCAAGCCCTCACGTCCCCCAGGCTGCCGACACGTTGAGCTGTCTTTCAGCACAGCAGCCCTCAGAACCCCACATCCCTCTGACAGTGGTTCCCCGCATCCGGTGCCCGCCCCCAAAGCCGCCTTCCCTCCCACAAAGCCCTAGCAGACTGCCTTGAACTGCGACCCGGGCCTCTTCTGGGGAGACCCAGGTTGGCGTCTTCAGAGATCCAAAAACCCCAGGGCATTTGGGTTATTGTATGTGTATACAGAGGAGGTCCCCCTTCTTATTGGGAGCACCAGGCGGGTCTCAGGCACACAGTTCCCTACTCTGGTTTTCCTTGGGACTCTAAGTGGGAAGGAGAGAAGTTTGGAAATAAAGGCCTCAGCTTCCCCTGTCTTCTGCCCCTCAAACCTCAGGTCTGTCAAGCCAGACCTGCCTCTACAGAGGCCCTAAAGGGAGATAGCTGGCTTAGACCTCAGGTTGTGGAGGGTGGCGGCACAGTTACAGAGTCCATGGGGAGAGTATGGGTAAGGGACTGGTGAGTTTGCAGACCCCAGGTGATGGGAGTAGGGTGTTCTGAGTACAAATTCTGGGGGTGTTCTAGCAGCATCACCAGCAGCTAGAGTGGCCTCCACCCCTGACGCCCGTCCTGCGGTGTTGATAACAGCAGTCCCTCTTAGGCCCTCTTCCCCAGCTGGATGCCCCCAGGAAGTGCACTGTGCAGACAGCAAAGCTCAAGCCCATCATGTGGGGATCGTTGCAGGTCTGTAGTACGCTAGATAAAATCTAAACACTTTTTGAGAAGTTTTATTTGAAAACTTGCGGGGGGAGGGGGGGATACAACAGAGGCAGCAGGATGACGACTGGTATTCTCCTGCTAGGCTTCTCAAGTCAGAAGCCAGGCTTGAGTTCCTCAGGTTGCTAGGTTCCAGGACCCCTCCAGCCTGTGGGCTCTGGAGGGAGACACCCAACCAAGTCCTCTCAGGTTCTTCCCCCTTCCCCCACTGCCCACTTCCTGTGTCTGAGGAGACACTGAGATGGCAGGGGTACACTTAAGAGAGCGGTAGTGGGGGGAGGATTTGGTTAAACTCCAGAAGGAGGAAGAAGTGAGAACCTGGGAGTTTGGGGGCTGAGAGGAATAGATAGAGCAAAGAGGTGGTGAAGGGACGGACCACTGTCTCTGCTTCCTCCATCCTCAAGAAACAGAGAGCCTATCGGTCCCCTGAGATATCTCACTCATAGCTCAGATAGGAAGTTTGGGGAATATCACCTCCTGTGACTGGGCAATGGGTGTGGGTCTGGGGGTTGTTGGGAAACAGTCATTACCCAAAGAGGATAGCAGTAACCCCTGCAACAGAGGAGGCTGGGGTGATGCATGCCCCACTGTGCCAGGTCCTCCATCTCAGCTGGGTGCAGGCTGGCTGTTGGCATAGGCCTGGTCTGGGAAGGAAGCGCGGGCTCTGCGGGTCTGGGCACACACTGAGGCGTAGAGCTCCGGCTCTAGACCTGAGGCCTGGGGCTTTGGCTCAGAGTCCAGCACTACCTCTGAGTACTTGATGGGGGTTCCAGGGCTCGGGATCCGGCCCTGAGGAGGCCGCAGCTGCAAGCTGGTATAGCACATCACCTCCTCTGCAGCCTGGAGATGCAAGGCTGTTAGAAGTTCACTGGACCCTTGAAAAAGCCCCCACTTCCTTCCCTCCCCTCTTCTTTGGGCACAACTGACTCACCCTGGGAGGGCCTCCAGGCGTTGGATCCTGCTGGTCTGGCCTTGGTTCTTGAGACAGCCGTCCTGGGACAGGGGATAATAGGAATCTGGTCACTTCTTGTTCCACCTCCTGCCGCCCCTCGTCCTGTCCACCCAGGACCTGGCCTCTGTGTTCCTCCCCTCTACCAGCTTCCTACCTGTCTTCAGATAATGCAGGTTCCCATACAGCGGGACCTCTTCCACAGACCCTCCAGAACTGCAACACAAAGTTTAGGGGATGAATGGGACTTCTTGGTAAGGAGAAATTCTCAATTAACCCATCTCTGTTTTTCCCCCACTCACTTTCCCGGATGGCTCCTGCTCCGGTCACTAGTCCATCGGGACAAGTGTGCAGCCAGTGAGATGAGAAGCAGCAGTGTCACAGCCCCTAAGAGGGCCCACAATCCCCAGGCCTTGGTCAAGCGGGGGATTCCTGTGGATATGAGAGGATGGGAGTGTTACTGCCCTGCCCAACCCTCCAGATCCCTGCAAGTGGGACATGGAGCCACGTGACCCCTCCCCCTGCTCCTGCCCCGCCCAGCTTACCGGCCGCTAACATATCTGTGCAGTTGTTACCTCCGCTCATGACTGCTGATGTGGAAACCAAGTCTTCAAGCACCAAGCCCTAAGCCAAGATGTCAGCCTGTCTATAGCCTGACAGCTGCAGGAGCCCCCTTTACTCCCAACCCGCCCTGGGCCTGGCCCCCACCACTCGTCATCCCCAATACTGGTGGTGGCAAAGTCACTGGTTTCCGGGGAGGAAAGGGGAGGGGAGGAATGGGTGAAAGAACAAAGACACCGCCCAGTGCCTGCACCTGCGCTACCCAGCAGCTCCTAAGCTTTCGGGCCAACCCCTCCCATCTCCACCCGTGGCCCTGTACCCCCTTCAGCCAGAGCAGAGAGAAGCAGGCCCGAATTTACTGTGCTACTGTGTAGGTAAGCCCATGGAGATGCCAAGGGAGGCAGAAGTGGCATAAGGCAGGACCCACAAGGCAAGGAAGCCAGGCCTTATGACAGATTCCCTTCTGCCACAGGGTGCCTGACTTCTCTCCAACTCTGAGTCCCATGAGGGAGAATGTATTCCTCAATGAGCATGTGCAATCTCACCACACCCTAAGGCTGACCCAAGGTGAATGTGTTAGGATAGCCATTGTTATTGTTATTATTACTGGTATAATAGTTTGGGGGATAGAGGAAGCTAGGTTTCCCACTCTTGACCCACTTCATCCAAACTGTCCTTAAGAACTGTCAATCTCAAAAGTTACTTGAATTAAAGAAACCTCTGCTCCTATACCTTCCTGGGAAGCTGAGCCCTGTCTTTGTACTTGTTCACTTCAGGGAGTGGAGTACCTGCCCTGCCCAGAAACAGCCCAATCAGGTGGGAAGTTACTGATGTGGGAAGAGGGAGTTTAAGCTCCAAATATAAACCTTAGACCAGAGGTCAGAGGTATGTTTTGCCTGGCCCATATAATGTTTAAAAATTTTTTTCATTATTTCAGTGGTGGGGATGGCAGAAGAGGTCCTGACCCAGCAATAAGAGGGTATGATCTGTAGGGAATTTTAAAGCAAAACCAACTAAAAATCAGTCTCCTTTTTATTACCACCATGTTCCAGCAACTCTAAAACAATGTCAGGGATAAAATACCCCTCTCTGAAAAATCTTTTTTACATCTAAGTGCTAAATTTCTGTGATTACTGGTGAGTTTTAATAATATACAAGCTTCAAATTAGCACATTTACATTCACAAGCAGATTCATCTACATGTGTTTGAATCTAGAATCAGTTCTTTTTTTTTAAGATTTTTATTGGGGAATTGGGGGATGGGAACAGCGCTGGAGAATTGGGGGAAGGGGAACAGACAAGTTGCTGTCTTTTTTGTTCTTCAGTCTAGTTGTGGAGGACGTTGCTTCACTAGCCCAAGTTGGCACCATCATTGCACTCTTCCCGGGCGAGGCAGATCAGTCGTCGGGAGGCCGCTCACCGCGGCTGCTGGCTGCTCACGCTGGCTGCTCACGCTGGCTGCTGGCTGCTCACGCTGGCTGCTGGCTACACATGGAAGCCCATGGCAACTCACTGCAGCAGGGGTTGCAGCCTATGCCCTCTCCGACAACTCACCACAACCCAGCTCTAGGTAGAGCTGTTCAGCATCTTAGCTGTGGAGGGCAGTGTCACTGGCCCTCATATGTGGGATCCAAACCGGGGCCCTCTGGCGTCCCTAGCCAGTTCTTAACCATCGCGCCACTCGGCCGGCCCTAGAATCAGTTCTTAATAGTGTGGAATTGTTCAAGTTTGCTTTGGGCACAACCTCTGCCTCCAACCCCTGTCATAGTACATGTTCCTGCACTTAACCAGTAGATTTAAAATAAACAATGATAGCACAATGATTGTAAAGTCAAAGAAATTGAACTTGAGTTACTTTAATTCTGTCATTGTGGGTGACCACTTGGAGTCTTTATATTGAAAATATACTAGAATTTATTATGAAATGGAATTTTTATGAATCTTTGCCAAACTTCCATATGTTTAAGACTTTTCCTAACTATTTGTATGTCTGTTGTTTCATGTAAAAGAAGCCTTTTTAAATGAAAATTAATAAAAGGCATTTTTTGATCAACTATCTATGAGTGAGATTGACAAATCTGGCTATATTCTCTATTAAATATGAATATGCAAAGTTACTTTTGACAGATTTGCAGAAGTAACTTCACAAAAAGAAATTGTAATGTTATCACTCAGGTAGATTAATATGTAGGTATAAGTTTTCTGCCCCTTTTCTCAAAAAATACAGTAATATAATTAAGAAATATTAACTCAATACATTTTTCTTTCTTGTTCTGGAATGTTTAATTTTTAGCTACATATATATTTTTATACTGTCATGATTATATCAGACAGTCAATAAAACAAATATTTACTGTTTGAATTTCTGGCCCTTATTATTTATTTCATTCCTGATTATTACTGAAAATAATTTTATCATAAAGGAGAATTTTAAAAAATTATTCACTTGGGTATAAATATGCTAAGTATGCCACTGATTCCTTGTCAACACTTTAAAAAGATTTCCAATTTTTAAAAATCCCAATTTGTTGGGCCGGCCCAGTGACGCGTTGGTTAAGAGTTGGCTTGGGAGCTAGCTCTGAGCCTCAGGACCCTGGTTCAGATCCCACATAGAGGGCCAGTGAAGCTGTGCCCTCTATAGCTAAGATGGTGAACAACAGCTGGACCTGGAGCTGGGCTACTGTGAGTCACCTAGGAAGGCGTAGGCTGCAGTGCGGATGGCTGGCAGATTGGGAGCACTTTCCTGAGCTGCCAGTGAGCCTCCGAGAGCGGCTAATGGCCGGCAAGTGACTGTTTCACCCGGGAAGAATGCAGTGATAATACCAACATGGGCCAGTGAAGCAACGTTCTCCACAACTAGACTGAAGAACAAAAGGACAATAACTTCTCTGTTCCCCTTCCCCAATTCCCCAACGCTGTTCCCTCCCCAACTCCGCAATAAAATCTTTAAAAAGAAATACATGTTTACAAGTTTACAAGAATACATTAAAAAAATAAAAAAAAGTAGCCACAGACCTTGCGTTCAGTCATGAGGACCCAAGGCACCAGCCTCGGTGATAGGATAAGAAACTAAGAAAAATTAAAGGGTTGTATGTGAGAGAGAATAAAGAGGACCCAGGCTTCAGGGACTGGAAGGAAAATAAAATTCAAGTCACACCCAGCTCCACACAGAATGAGTCTGCTGTTCTCCGAAAGTGGGAGGCGACTGCTCCTGGACCCACAGTGCTAGCACTCACTGCAGTCCCACGCTAGGCCCTTTAACTGCCCCGAAACGTCGGGACTACATCTCCCAGCATGCCGCGGACAGGGCAGCATTACGCCTGCGCAGAGCTGGTGGCGAGGCCGCGTCGTGCCAAGTGGGGGCGCTCGGAGCTTGGTCCTGAGCCTGCGGAGGCCGCGGGCACCGCAGGGTCCCGCGGAGTGAGCTAATCTGAGTTGGGGAGTGTTTGAAGCCTCTACTGCTATTCTCGGACGGTCCCCAACCCCTGCCTCTTCCCGGGTCAAGCCCTCACGTCCCCCAGGCTGCCGACACGTTGAGCTGTCTTTCAGCACAGCAGCCCTCAGAACCCCACATCCCTCTGACAGTGGTTCCCCGCATCCGGTGCCCGCCCCCAAAGCCGCCTTCCCTCCCACAAAGCCCTAGCAGACTGCCTTGAACTGCGACCCGGGCCTCTTCTGGGGAGACCCAGGTTGGCGTCTTCAGAGATCCAAAAACCCCAGGGCATTTGGGTTATTGTATGTGTATACAGAGGAGGTCCCCCTTCTTATTGGGAGCACCAGGCGGGTCTC